TTAATTCCAGGACAGCCAAGACTACACAAAGAAACCCCATTTCGAAAAACAAAAAGACAAAAAACAAAAACGAAACCCACCACAAAAAAGTCTCCATGCACTCACTTCCTGGTGCCCACATACACCTGAAAGTTTAAGTCAACTTGCTTGCCTTGTGTTTGGTGATGGTGGTTTTGTTTGTTGCTTGCTTGCTTGCTTGCTTGCTTGTTTTTCAAGACAGGGTTTCTCTGTATAGCTCTGACTGTCCTGGAACTCACTCTATAGACCAGAATGGCCCCAAACTGAGAGATACACCTACCTCTGCCTACTGAGTTCTGGGATTAAAGGTGTGTGGCACCACCAGGACCGTGTGGGTTTTGTTTTGTTTTATTCTGTTTAAATCTTCATTCGTTTTAATTATGTAGTGGTGTATGTAACACACCAGGGTATGTGGGTCAGATCCCCTGACAGTGGAGCTATAGATAGTTATGAGCTACCTGATATCGGTGGTAGGAACCAAACTTGAGTCCTCTGGAAGAGCAGCAAATGATCTTAAATGCTTGTGCTGGCGAGTTTTATGTCAACTTGACACAAGCTAGAGTCCTTTGGGAAAAGGAAATCTCAACTGGAAAAATGCCTCCATAAGACTGGCCTGTATGCAAGGCTATAGTGCATTTTCTTAATTAGTGATTGATATGGAAAGGCCCAGCCCATGTGGGTGGTGACACCCTTGGGCAGGTGATCCTGGTTTCTATAAGGATAGAAGGCTTAGGGAACATTCCAGTAAGTAAGCAGCACTCTCCAGGGCCTCTACATCAACTCCTACCTCCAGATTCCTGTCCTGTTTGAGTTCCTGCCCTGACTCCCCTAGCGATGGACTGTGAAATGGAACTCTAAACTAAAATAAACCCTTTCCTCCCCAAGTTACTTTTGGTTATGGTGTTTTATCACAGCAACAGAGCCATCAACTCTAGCCTCTCAACCTTCTTTTTTAATCTCCAATAAAATGGAACATCTGTTATTAACACAAATTTAGATGAAGCTCCGAGACCATATGAAATCACAGACCTGGCTCTCAAAACATTAAATTGGCAAAGTCTCAAGAGTTCTTAAACAATGTTTCTCAGACACTGTGTGGACAAAAGTATGAACGTTTATTTAAGAACAACTTTTAGCAAAGAGTTTTTTCTTAGGGTTGCTGCCTAACACCAGGGTAAATGAACAAGTCAGCTTCCAAAGCATTGTGACTAACACTGCTTTCACAAAATCCCAACAGTTTCTCAACTTCATCACCCCTATCTTTAAAAACTGGCCACAGGGCTACTGTATTACAAATGCTGCAGGAGGAGTGCAGGGAGAAGGAAGCTGATCTGGTGGGTGGCCCAGAAAAACCTGATGCTGCCACTCTTCCAACACTAAGCATCTGCCCAGGCAGAGTGCCCACAGCAGGCTCAGAAAGGCCAGTTGTAACGAGACACTAGTGTTGGAAATGTACTTCTGAGTTTCTGCATACCCTGTGCCATCTGATTGTGGGACTTCATAGGCTGATTTCTCTTGCAAGAGAAACTTCTGAAATCATTAGTCACATAGGCTGAATTCAGTGTTGGGTGTTTCTGCAGTGTAGGATGCCTATCTTGGGAGCATTATGGAAGGGTAAGTTCTTCCAGTAAACTGACCAACTAGAAAACATTAAAAATATAATAACAAAACAAAACAAGCCAAAAATCTACTGGCAATTACCCAATTTTCTGGATTTTGTTAGTTTGTTTAGAGGTTTTTGTTTTTGTTTTATTTTGTTTTGTTTTGAGGCAAGATCTCGTGAAACCCAGGCTGGTGTTACTATGTAGCCAAGGAAAGATGAACTCTTCATCTTCCTGCATAATATATGCCAGTTATTCAAGCTCTTGGAATTATCGGCATGCATTATCATGAATGGATTTCAGTTTCTGTCTTAAAAGGTAAAAATCTGATGCCTAAACGGCTAGCATCAAAGAGTCAATGAAAGTAAACAAAACATTTGGTACAATAATTTATAACAAATGAAGTGGCTTCACAAAACTATATTATTTTTTAAGAAAAACATGATTGCTGGGCACTGGTGGTACACGCTTTAATCCCAGCACTTGGGAGGCAGAGGCAGATGGATCTCGAGGCCAGTCTGGTCTACAGAGTGGGTTCCAAAACAGATTCCAAAGCTATAGAGAAACCCTGTCTCAAATAACAAGAAATGAAAAACAAACGAAAGTCTTAACTGAGGGAGCAAGAAAAACACATATAGCAGAAGTTTGGAAAAAGGGTGATATATTTTCTCTAAACACACAAAGATTACAAAGAAATAAGTAAATCAAAATATTAAATGACAGTTATTAGTCATTCTACTCTTCATCATAACCTTTCAAAATTTAAAAACTCTCATACATGTTCAAGAACTAATCCTCTAAGCAAGGTTGCTAAAATTTTAAAGATGAATAGACAAAACACACACACCAGAATAATTTGCCAATAAATAAAATGCCTTAAGAAAAATTTTACTATATATATTTTTAACTTACAAGAACTATCAGAATGGAAGCAAAAATTGTAAGAATAGAACTCTCACAGACATTTATAAAACAAAATGTACATTAAACTCTTCAATTAAAGACCCATAAAATAGTCTCAGTGCTTTTTAACCCACCTTCTCACAGCAGGAATTTAATCCCTCCAGAGGGGTGCAAACAAACTTCAAAGAGAAGATTAGGCCCAGACACTAGCACTGTGCAATGTAAGGTTTATATCTAAATTTGCCCAGAAACACAGAGATGCAGATCTGAGGAACAAAGGTAGATTCTTTACAATCATCTAAAACAGCCAAATTAATGCCTAAAACAGTAAAAGAAAAAAAGGAAAATATACCAAGTACTATTCAGCAAAAAGTTGTAGAAAGAGAAAAAGGTGCCTGAAGCCAAATACTCAGCTATAGTTCATTCAATAGAAACAGCAAAAGGAATCTGACAAAATATCAAAGAGCACATGTCCTTGTCCAGCTTAAGCTCTGTGCAGTGTAAGAGGGTATTCCTACAGTGTTAAAGTTCTTGACATAGTTTCTATATAGTACTGACAAATCGCATGCTCTTTCCATTCTCAGAGCACAAGTACATTAAGAGACAATTAAAGGTCTTCATTTATGTACACACATTAAGATAAGTCAATAAGGCTGGACAGTGGTAGTGCACACCTTTAATCTCAGCTCTCAGGAGGGAAAAGCAGGTGGATCTCTATGAGTTCAAGGCCAGCCTGGTCTACAGAGCAGTAGAACAGCCAGAGCTATACACAGAGAAACCCTGCCTCAAAAAAGAGAAGAAGAGGAGGAGGAGGAGGAGGAGGAAGAGGAGGAGGAAGAAGAGGATGAGGAGGAAGAGGAGGAGGAGAAGGAGGAAGAAGAGGATGAGGAAGAAGAGGAGGAAGAAGAAGAGGAGGAGGAAGAAGAAGAGGAGGAAGAAGAAGAGGAGGAAGAAGAAGAGGAGGAAGAAGAAGAGGAGGAAGAAGAAGAGGAAGAAGAGGAGGAGGAGGAGGAGGAGGAGGAGGAAGAAGAAGAAGACGACGACGACGACGACAAAGACGTCGATGGGGAAAAGACCTGTCTTTAAAGATAAGGGTATTTTGCTCCAGCCGCTTTCATCTTCCTATTATTAGCTGATTTTTAAGGAGGTTTTGAAAGGCCTCATTACTTTATAAACTGAAGAGGTAAAGTGTAGCTTATTAACTCAGCTTCTAAGTCCCAGTGTACAAACCATGGGTAAGAAATCAACTTAGAATTTAACTTTTCCAAATATTAACTACTTTTAAAAGAAAAATAGTTTTGGTATATAACTTAAAAGTAAAAGTCAAAATCAAAATTTCTTAAAGAAAGTATCTGTATGGGTAAAAGACAAATATTGATTTTATACTATGTTTAGAGCAAGAAGTTTGAATCAAATATTCTACAGAGGGAAAGACAAATCATAAAATGGAAGACATCTGCAACACATAAAACCAGATAGTGTCCATAATGCATTCTTTATGAACCAACAATGAATGGTTACTTAAAAATGAGCAAGATGATGGCCCACCAGCCTTGCCAAAATGGCATACTCCAGAGTCAGTGAAAGACCCAGCAAAATGTCCAATGTCCTCCTGTGGCTTCCTCACACAGGTGAGTGCAGGGGTATACATGCATCCACACATTCACATAAAAATAAAAATATTTTAAATGAGCAAAAGAATTAAATAGACACCATACATATATGCATGTATATATGTGTACAAATATATATTTATTTGTGCATGCATGTATATGTACATGTATGCACATGTGTATGTATATAGACATGTAAGTGTATATGTGTGCGTATAAATATATTTATATTTACATTTATACACACACACACACACACACATATATAACCATGAAGAAACAGTCAAACATGTAAAAATCCAGAGATGAAAGAAAATACCTACATTTTTTAACATATGTTATTAGAAGGGAAGGATATAGCCACAAAACTATAAATGTCTATAAACTATAGACATTCTAACCTCATCTAAGATCCCCACTGTTCAGGATACTTATGAAATCATACTAAAAGACAAAGAGAGAGGAGGAGTCTCCCTTAACTAATCTCCAACCTTTTATAAATAGTTTTGCTAAATTCGGTCTATTTCAAGCAGTTTAATGGCAAAAAAAAAAAATCTCTTTCAATTAATTTGAATCCTATAGCCTAATTCCAAGCCTTGCCCATTAGCAAGGCCTAAATAATTGATTTTCAGGCATGCAAACCAATATCCAATGATAAAAATAAGTCTGCCAAGGCAGTGGATTCCAATCAAAGTATTCACTATACTTTTATTCTCTCCTCTTCCTAGGATGATATGGACATGAAAAATGAGGAAAGACACTTAAAAGAACTTAAAGACATCACATTATTTATCTATTTTTCTTCTGTGTACAGCTATTCCATACAATGAAGAAACATCACTATCATAATTAGATAAGTGAGTACCTGAAAGAGTGCCACCTGTCCTAGGATATGCCACTTCCACATACACTTCAAATGTAGTCTCTGGGTTCTGCCTACAAAAGAAACAAATCATGGTTACTGACAAGGATTGAAGCAGCATTATGCAAAAGACATGGGATGCAGTGTAAAGTAGATCTCAGTTAAAGTCAGGAGCTCCACAACTAACTAGTTGTAAAAGTTTGGGCAGGCTGTTTAAGGCTTGGGCCATGACCTTCACAGCATACAAGATAAAAACAGCAATCCCCAATACACAAAGTGATCTGGACACAATGTCTGGACATAGTAAGTTAACCATGACTATGACTTGGCATGTGTCATGTTTCTGACCTTCACAATTATATCTCCAAAGCTGCAGGCAGGATTTTTGAGAAAATTTCAGCTCAAAGTACCAACAGTATAAAGTAGCACACTCTGCTCCACTGCTAGATAAAACACACATATAACAAAAATGACTCTCTGCTTACAGCTTTTGAATAGCAGACAAGAGAAACAATCACCTCACTAGAATATTATGAACATGGGACACTAATATAAATGTAAAACAGTGTTTGCTGCACTGCCAATACCATATTATGAATGTTCACTATTATATCTCTTTACCTTTTTAATGTCATAAGCATTCATAATAAATTCATGATAGATCACAGTACTAACAGAATGTTTATAGTTGTTACTTCTGAGTTATAAAAACGTGATTATATTATCTTCTCTACTATAATGAAAAGGTAAATACTTCAACTGGATAAAAATTATTTAGCAAGCTGGGCACAACGGTATACGTCTTTAATCCCAGCACTTGAAAGGCAGTGAGGCAGGCGGAGCTCTGTGAGTTTTGAGGCCAACCAAATCTAGAGACAAAGTTCCAGGTCAACCAGGGTTACAAAGACCCTGCATCCAAAAAGAAAAAGAAAAGAAAAGAAAAAAAAAAAACATTTAGCAAATAATACTATACTTTCAAACATCTAACTAAATTACATTTTAAACCTGACAACAAGGTTTAAATAAGTTACTTCCTGGGTTGTTTAATAGTATCTAAGGGCCTAAATTTAAATTAAAAAAAATACTTTGAATGTTCCCAGGAATATCTACATCTCTAATTGTCATTTATGTCATGTGATCCTTACTGTGGCACTGTAGGGTGGGAGTACTACTCTCACTAAGCAAGTGAAGGGCCTGAAGAAAGACAGTCTAAAGAACTTATCTGCCTCCCTTGGGTGACTGGAAACACAGACAACTCCAGAATTCCTGTCATCCTTTCTCCAATTTCACATTTCACTGCCTAGATGATGACCTTTGATCCTCACACTTACACATCTTCAGCCTGCTTTATTTTGCAATTGTAAATGGCAGTAACTTTTTCTTAGTAACACATAAAATAACATTCATCTTATAAATGCCACCATCCTAAGATTCAGGAAAATAAGGTAATGCTTGCTCTAATTCCTTCGCAGCAGAGAGATGTTTTATAATTTGAGAAAGATCAGTTTTTTGCCATAAAGAAACTCAGGCTTTAGCTTTAAATAAGTGCCTTAAGTAGAGAAAGAGCTGACTATTCTAAAATTCAAGGTATTTAAATATACTTAGTTAAATATAGTTACTAAAAAATATGAGACTAAATCAGACAGAGCATCTTACTTTTTAAAAAAGTAAACTTAAGTTTTAAGGGCTCAAAATTTAAAAAAAAAAAAAAAGCTTGCATTCTTTTTCCCACCAAGAGGGCAGAAGGGCAGAACATGACCTTCAAAGTTGGCTCCAAATGTATAGGAAATATCACATGGAAATATCCCTTCCAGTCAAAGACCTCAATGTAGAGCATTTGACAAAAGGAACACTTCTATTTCACAAGTAATAGATAATATAATGTGAAAAGCATTAGAAAAATTTCCTCCAAAAACCTAAAAATACCCTTCTTCTGCAAATGACTAACAACATCTCAGGATGTTGTTTCTATGGATTAAAACAGGATTCAAATGTGTTCTACACACAGCTGGGAGTCACGGCACACACCCTTAATCAGGTGGATACCTGTGAGGTCAAGTCCAGTTTGGTCTACATAGTAAGTTCCAGGGCAGCCTACACAAAGAATTACAGTTCCAGGGCTATGTAGAGAAACCCTGTCTCAAAAAATAAAGTAAAATGTGTTCTACACAACCCTAGGTCCCTATGGAGGCTCTTTGGAGCTCCCATACATATTTTTTACTAAATTTCCAATTCTTCAGCATTTTTTGACATGTTCTTAAAATTGAAATGATGAAACGAGCATGTGAAAGTATTATATTCAAGCTCTAGAACAGTCACACAGTCATGCCTTAACCTGAGTCACAGGGCATTTGTGAAGGCCTATTCTAAGGAAAATGATGTCCTAAAAGGTTATTCTTCTTGTTGCTTCTGGTTCTTTCTTCCTGCAACCTGCTTCAAGCAGGCATCATGAAACACATCATCACAACACTTGCCATGTCACCAAAGACCTCCAAATGCACAATTCTCAGTGCTTGATTTATCCTTATAGCAGCTTTTGGAACAGCTTGACTTGCCCTGCCCCCTTCCTTTCCCTTCTAGAAGTTCGCTCTACTGGTTCTCTGCCTTCCTTACTGGTGCTTCTTTGCTAAACTCTCCTGCTCCTGAACTGGTCAAGACTCTGCTGTCTACACTCATCACCCAGATGATCTCATTCAGTCTTGCGGCTTTAATTACTGAGCAAATGCTGGCAAGCCCCTACATCCTACCTTCAACCTGACTTCTTCCCTGATTCCAGATTTTTAAGCCCACTCAACATTTATGCTTAGACATCTCAAACATATTTTAATTTAACATATGTTTTCATTTCCTAAACTTGCATGTCCTGAACTCTAACAGTTATTCAAACCAACAAAACTTACTGTTTCTGATCTCTTTGTCACTACCAACCAGTCAGCAAGCTCTGTTGATTCTACTATCAGAATGTATCCAGGGGGGTTGGGAATTTAAACTTAACTCAGTGGTACCATGCCCAAGTATTTTGCTTCCAATAAACACAAAATTAAATAAAATTAAATAAAAATCCAGAATCATGCACTTCTTAGTACCTTCACTTAATGTATAACTCTTCTGACAGTCTCCCTTCTTCACTCTTTTCTCCATGTAATGATACCTCAATTTTGCATACATGAGTCCATTCATTGTAAAGTTCAGATTGTGAAAGCCCTCCATGCAAAATTTCTCCAAAGCATCCAGCACACTCAAAGTCAAACTTCAAGTTCTACTGCTAGACAGGTGAAGAACAATACAGATGTATCTAATGCCATTGGACTGAGCACTTTTAAATGAAAAGTATTATTATATGTGTCATGCCATAATTTTAAAAATTGGAGTTTAAAAGAAAGGGGGGTAGCAGGAGCCCACATGACCCAGTCTCTACCTACCTGTCCAACTTCACTTCAGATCTCTCTCCTGGCTCACTAGACCTAGGTACACTGAACTTCTTTCTGTCGCTCAGACACATGAGCCCACTCACCTCCGTGTTAGAACACTTTACATAGAACTTCACATAGTAGTTCTTCTTGTCACCCAAAACTCTGCTTGTACCTGGTCTCAGAAAGACCAACTTCATCACACTCTCCAGCACCTAATTTAATTTTCCACATTATACCAGTCCCAACACTGGTTATGGTTAGCTTTCCTCTTCCACACATAAACTGTTTAAGAATAGGGATTTTTGTCTCTCATGTCAGGTAGATAATAATAGTAAAGGGCAAAGGAAATGGAGACCTGTCTTCCAGGAGTCTAAAAGAGTACAATAAGTGAGAGGTATGATCATCCAGTTTCACGTGTTTCAACCTTTAGTATGGATTACAATTAATTAACAACTAATTAATGAAAAGATTTTTATCTCTGTCAGAGTCTCTGAGGTAGAACCGCAGATTTGTCTTTCTAACAAATAACCAGCTCACAGTAGTTCTACTTGACTTGTGAACTACTGATCTAGTTAAATGAAATTGTTCCAATAATTTAGTCTATACAACAAAATGTACATAAAATTAACAGTGTACATCACCTTTCAGAGGTATTTTTATAAAGAAAAACATGTTTCGAAGAAAAAGGTCATTTGTAGAAACAAGTATTCCTACTTCTTGTTGTCTCTCACTATCTGACTCACTCTAATAAGTAATAAGCCCAGAAGATTCATACTCAGTTCAGACAGCAGGCAGAGTTCAACTGCATGGAGTCAAAGATTATAACTTTCTCTCTCTTTCTCTCTCTCTCTCCCCCCTCCCTCCCTCCTTCTGTCCCTCCCTTCCTCTCTCTCCTGCTCTCAGAAACAAAAAAGGAGGACAACGACGACGAACAAGAAGAAAAAGAAGAAGAAGAAAAGCAGAAGCTGACTAAAATGCTAAGAACAAAGTGGTCTATAATTATAGCTCTAGTCATGCTTACCCATGATGGTTTACATGTTGCCTTATGGAAGAAGTGGTGACTAATGTTGTGACAAGTTATATAATATAACAAATATACATAAGTTATTTTAAGGGCCAGTAAAGCCAGTACAGATGGAAGCACTTTTTTATTTCTCTGCAAATCAGAAAATAAATTAGAAAGAGCCTCCTCTAAATGCAAATTGCCAAGCATTTCTTTCTTAATATTCTCATTAAGCCTGTAAACAATGAAGGCCATAGCAACTTGCACAGGATCTCTGAGAGCACCTTGAGACCGCTAATTCCTCCAACACTCTCCAAGACACTTAGTATTTTTAACTACTTGGCTAAAGAAGCTGAAAATCCTATTTCTGTCCTATTAACACTCACTGCTAATTTAGAACACGTAATGATGCTAAGAATACCATGTTCAGAGCCAATTTTCCAATATGGACCCAAGTTTTCCCAGCGCCCTTTGTGATACATCTTAGCATATTACCATGGAAATGTCCTGGTTCTGCCACGATGCCCCATTATTAATTGCCTTTTACTTATCTGGAACTCTGCCTACCTGCCAAGCATATTCATTGCCACTCACTAGCATCTCCCATGGTCTTGCACCCTAAGATCCAGCCATTAAAAAAAAAAAAAAAACAGGGTAA